TGATGTAGATAATTACACAAAATATCATTATAAACTCACACTTCATTTACTGGGTGTAATGTAAATAATTGTACCTTGTGTGGAGTGAAGGCTGACATAATGCACTTCATGGATGTGTCCCAACACAAGTGTCCTGCTTTTGTCAACAGGACATTGTGGTCGTAAGATAACATCGTGAGAAGCGTTAAGACTGCTGACCACACGAATGCAAGTTTTGTAGCAGTTTGCTGTGGCACATAGAATAACATGGTCACCCCAAGCGCCATCTTGCTCCACGTACGTTAAGTAATCAGCCCATGATTGATGACCATGGACGAAGTGAAACAGAGTTGTTCCATTCGGCTGTGAGAAGGGTAAAATAGAGAACGAAACTTAGAGTATAAAGTTAATGGTACACTGGATAAGGTTGAATACGTTGGAAGGAGTCATCGAATGAGAAAATAACAAAGAGATACTAAACCACAGTGAGAACGGATGATAAGCAATCAGAGTAATGAACACGAGGATCTACATTCAATGTAGCAATCTCAACTCCTGAAGTTGCCCTTCTGAGACATGGAATATCTAGTGTCCACCTTATCCAGAGGCAAGGTCATACAATTAGAATTGTCCCGTCTGGGGGAGATTCAAGCCGGCGATGTATTTTAAAAAAACCTTGGATTGGCTGCTTTCTCTACAAGACAGAGCTCTTTAATTTTTACAAGGAGGTCTGAATTCATCCGTGACTCGGACATGGTCTATACTAAAACACTTGAACAACACCGCGTGGTTTTAAGAGCAATCCAGAAATATTAAACAATTATTCTCCGAAACAAAGGCGAATAGGGGCGGGTATCTACCGAGGCAAAAAGGCGAGGTAATTATCCACCAGTTTCAAGGACACTGAGGTAGAAGATTATTTACGCATATACCAGAAGACGGTGAATGGTACTTGCCAATCACTTACCAATGAACGCGCGCTGTGGTTTATACTAAACGCTGATTTCAGGGTATTTATGATCCTTATTATCCCCTACAGGAGGAGTAGTGACGTGTTGGCCAGTTGGCCCACATGTGGATCTAACCTTTATGGTGCTCCTAAAGTAACAGTGTTTAACACAGAGTGTAAGACATCAACTTACTAGTTTAGGGTTTTTTCTGAGGTACTGGACCAACGTTTGTCTTAATTCGTCATGCTTGATTTTGATTCTCAAAGCAAGTTCCATTTGATCTGACAAAGCATAGAACATGCAATTTCCTGATCCTTCATTGTCAATAATTTTGAAGCCCTTGTCTAAAGCAATTTTCTTCAACTCATTTTTTAGGTCTGTCTTGTCAATGACTTTGCTTACATCGAGTTGCATCTGGTGAAGCTGAGCAATTAACTTAACAGAACCTAAGTGAACAAACGGATGGATGAACAAAAGGATAAATAACACCCTGCAGGTGATTTAAGGAAGACCAAAACAGAACAATACTACATTATAAACACTTTTTCTCTTGGTTTCTATGAGTTCTTAATAATAAGTTTCTTTGATATGTAGAGGAACTTCATAGAAAAGGAAGTAAAAGGGAAATCTTAGCAGTCAACTGAGCCTTCAATTTAAGAAAGAAAACGAAAAACTTTTACATCCTGATTTGAGGTACTTTAGATTGGTTTTCAAGTAAATTGGGGTCAAAATAGCAAATATTGCTTAAAGTAACTTGATAACTCTCCATAACTCATCCAAATCAGAAATTCAGGGAAACGAAATTTTGTTCTACACGACAAGCGTTTGAACACAGCTTAGGGGTCCATTTTAGCACGTCTCACCTGTTCTAAACATCATTAAGAGGCGGTCTCTAGCTCTAAAAGCGGTAAAATGCAATTCGGAAACATTCTGTTTACATTTGGTTCGCAGTTCGCTCGAAGAATTATATCTAAACAAAGATCTCTTGAAGTAATTACAGCCCCCTTTTCAACGAAATGGGTATAAGGAAACCCCGAGGTACGCTTTGTAAACAATCGTTATCATGAGGTATTCACTATTCTTCCGTGTTATATCACTACTGTGGGAGCGATGCAACAATTTCAGGACTGGAATCCTCTATTGTGATACAGCAAAATGGAGGGTGAGTGGACATTATATTAAAAAAGCTGTAGTTTGGATATGAAATGCGAAACAATTGAGTTTGGATGTAGATGTGTACATTTATGATCTCTCGTACTCTGGTTAATGTTAACATTGATCAGCAAGAGTCAGGAAAGCAATTAAGATTATGCTGCCTAAATGCTAGATCACTGAACAATAAATCTGCTGACTTTGTTTGTTACGTGGAGTCGTGTGCAGCAGATATTATTATCATCACTGAGACCTGGCTTACAGCTGACGATACTACACATCGTATTGAGATCACTCCTCCTGGATTCAAGTTTCTGGACCAACCACGACCAGGTCGTATCGGGGGAGGAACTGCTATATTGCTCACAGATAACATCAATGTAAATAAAGTTGATGCCGGTGATCGTAATTCTTTCGAGTTTTCAGAATGGATTATGAAGCATGGGTCCTTTACACTACGGACTATTATTATTTAGCGTCCACCATATTCGACAAACCATCCAGTT